GCTCTTCTCCCCTCTTGTCCTCTTTATCCCCCCTGCCCCCTCTCGTCCCCCCTCCGCTCCCCACGCCAGAGTCCGCACCCACCGTCTCCCCTGCCGCTGCGGTGCTGCCTCCGCGCGGTGCTGGGCGAGGGTGGAGGTTTCCTCGAAGGCTCCCCCCTCCGGCCGCGGGGAGGCTCCGTGCGCGGCCTCACGTTCACTCTCTGCTGCAGTGGAGGGAGAGGCTCCTGGGGAGGGTTAGGGGAAACCCAGGTTCCGGGGCCCCGTGGATGTTGGGTAGGACTTGTTGTCTTTCTCGAACATCAAGGACCCTTTAAAAGCGAGTGGGGGTCACTGAAGCCATCCTCTTAAGTCTTCTCTGCATTCTTTACATCGCCCGCCCACCTTCTCTTTTATTCCAACAGCTGTGGGCCTTGGGGCAGATGGCTTACGCTCCCCGTCCTTAGTTTCGTAATCTGTGAAATGGGGAACAACAGTAGTGGTTTCGTCATCTGTGAAATGGGGGAAACAATTGTATCAGTTCCCACGGTTGGTTGTGAGGAATCAGGTGAGATAATTCCTGTAAAGTGCTTATCCCAGTGACCGGTGCCTCTAAAATGCTGCTGTTTGTACTCCTGTATCGGAGCACCCTGGCCCCAGTACTCAGTGGCCCTCTTTATGCCAAGGGCTCCTCCGAGGAGGACGGAGGTTCCTGGCAATAGGATGATGGGAAATTTCTTTGAAAAATCAAAAGCACCCAGGCCTGGGGGTGGGGCCCTGGACTCTAGTCTGGCTTTACCTTTCGTTAGTTCACTTGATGACCTTGGTCAAAGGTCGTCATCTTTGCAGGCCTCATATCTGTGTCTCAGCTGAGTGTTGTACCAGAGACCTTCCAGGTGTCCCTCCAGCTTTCACATTCTTAAGCAAGATCTCACAAGGTGCATTAAGCAGCCGCCGCCAGGCAGTGCCCTCCATATGCTGCCTGGGAGCACACCTAAAGGAGATGTTGGAGGAGGAAGGTGGTCATTTTTTTAGTGATAAGACCTGACTTTCATTAGAGGAGATTATGAAGTTGGGGGCCCAGGTCACAAAGGAGTGAGTAGGATGCTGGTGAACATGATGTCACCATGGAGGCCTGTTTGGGGAGGTGGGGGGAGATGCCAACTTGTTCATGGCACCTACTAGGTGCTCAATAAAAAAAATCTGAGGAATGATGAGTGAAGCCCGAATTAGTAACCTGATGTAGTCCTTGCCTTAGGCCAGGCTTCTGGGCCCAAAAAAGAAGTAGGGAACACCCTTTTTTGTTGTTAGGATTGGCACTCGGGAGGGTGGATTCTCTAATGCCAGGGTTCCTTGGAAAGCCTTTCTGGATTGTCCTTGTCAGGAGTGATCTCTGCCTTGTCAGAACTGGAGGGGCACTGTGACCATTGTCTACAGTATTGGGTAGTTACTTCTGCACATACTTTCACCCTCATTAGACGATACGTTTCGGCCGTGCGTACTCTTGAAGAAGCACATAGCACAGTGCTGAGCTCTCATCTAAAGCACTTGGCGCTTGTCAAGATTCTGGGCTAAATGTGTTTTTTTTTCCCTCTTTATTTTCATTGAACAGGTGTTTAGAAATACTTTCCTCTGTGTGCTAGGCTCTGTGGAGCTGATGGCTTCTTCTGGGTGAGAGTGACGTTAATAAATGATTAACAGAATGAACGCAGTTTCAATTCGTGATGAGTATTTATACAGGGCAAGTTCGTGGTGCTGTGACTGAATATAGCAGGGAGGCCTGTGGAACCCTGGTGGCCATTAGGAAAGGCTTCCTAGAAAGAGTGGCATTTGTGAAATAGTGGGTGAAGCGCGAATAGGAATTTCCTAGGCAAGAAGGGAGAGGGGAGGACGGGCTTTCATGCATTACCATGTTTACTTCTCCCAGCAGCTTCAGGAAGTCATAATGATTGACTTCCATTTCACAGTCTGGAAAAGTTGTGGTTTGGAGAAGTTTAAGCGCCTCTTCCAAGTGCCCAGAGCTAGCAGGTGGGAGAGCCAGGATTTCAACATTTCTGGATCCAAAACCCACAACCCCGATCACCAGCCTGTGTTGCTTGTACCCAGTAAGAACACGGATGGTTATAGTCGTCCCTCAGTATCCCTTGGGATTGGTTTCAGGACCCCCGTCCCCCCTCAGATACCAAAATCCGAGGATGCTCAAGTCTCATACATAAGATGGCGTAGCATTTACCTATAACCTGTGTTTGTATATAGGTTACAGTAGGGTGTGCCTATACATAACTTCATTTGTGTGGATTCAACGTAGTGCTCATTGCGTGGCAAATTCAAGTTTTGCTTATTGGATCGTCCTGGGATTCCCTCCCCCCCGCAACTATTTTCAATCCATGGTTGGTTGGACACAGAGAACTGATTGTACTGAGGTAGTAAAATGTTTCTGAATCAACTCTGCTATGCTCTCTATCTAATCTCAGTTTCCTGTTGTCCACAGTCTTCTCTGGGGTTTATTCATCTGGGTGGACCTTTGGTGCCTGCTATAAGGGTATGGCTTGGCTGTGTGATAGGGTGAGAAAATACAGTGTTTCAGTTACCTGCTGCAGTGTAACCATAACCCCTGTTATTCAGAGGCTTACACCAATGATAGGATTCTCACGATTCTCTGGTTGACTGGGCTCAGCTAAGAGGTTTTTGTGTGCCATGTGTTGTAACCTGAGGTCTCCTCTATAGCTGCATTCAGTTAGGACCTAGAAGAATTCTTATAAAATACTTAGCAAACTGCCTGGCACATAGTAAATGAAGACCGAGGAGGACATTTTGGAAGGTAGGGGCAGGGAAAGGGAAGGAGAACATTTTCAGAAAAGGCCTAGTGATGGGACAGTGTCAACACTATGGATAACACGACACTTCGGTTGTTTCTATTCAAAAGCAATCTTCACGGATCCCTGGGAGGGGCCCTGTGACTAGTTCTGAGACATTGGTAAATCCAATGGCTGTGGAATCTTCATCTTATGTTATTTAAAGCTGTTGGCGGTGGCGAGAATGACACCAGGTGTTAGACCAGTGGAGTTAGACCGGTGGGGTCAGACTGGACCTTTCCACCTCAGTACTTGAGTTCTGGCTAGGAAAGAATTCAGAGCCAAGACTCAAACCATAAGAGGAAGTTTATGAAGAAAGTCACAGAGGAAGAAGTGAGTGGTAGAAGAAATGGGCTTAGGAAACACGTTACGGAGGCAAAAGAAGGGGCCCGTGGATCTTAGAGAGAAGGGTAAAGGTAATGCTGAGGGTGTGGGGGCAGAGGAGGACGATGGGGAGGGGAAAGCTCCTCTGTCCTAAGGGGTTTTAAGGGTCGGATTTTAGGGGGGGTGGTGTCCCAGGGGAGGATCTTAACAGCAGCTTTCCAGGTATGTCCTTCCAGTTGTGGTCCCACTGATTGGTTGGCGCCAGGGCAGGGATCATTAGTCAGTGCTGCTGGTCCTGAGGTCCGCTGTGGTGAGCTTGTCTGGTTTTGCTGCTTTTCTCGGCCTGGATCCCAAGCACAACTAAAGCCTAGATGTCTTTGATGCAGGTCAGAACCTCATTGTCCTGGGGGCTTAATGATTAAGGGCTGTTCTCTGGCCCCCTTGTCCATCCCCCCTCTCAGGGGGCCTAACCTCATGACTAGCGACATGTCAGGGGAGGAAAGGTCGGGGAAGGTCTGAACCTCATGACCAGCGATATGAAAAGTCAGGGGGTCTAACCCACATGACCAACAATATCCTGGGAAGGAAAGATTACCCGGGGGAGGGCGGGCGAGGTCCTTGTTTTCTGCCCTGGTGACCTTTTATTCCTGGCCCATCGTCCTTGCTCTGCTCATGTCTGTCCAACTGCCTACCACAAAGCCATGAACCGGAAGTCAGTAGACCTGGACTCAGTCATTGTGCTGTCCCTGTTAAAAGCAGTTTTCAGGCCTAGTCGGTTTGGCTCAGTGGATAGAGCGTCGGCCTGCGGACTCAAGGGTCCCAGGTTCGATTCCACCAAAGGGCACATGCCCAGGTTGCGGGCTCAATCTCCAGTTAGGGGGTGTGCAGGAGGCAGCCGATCAATGATTCTCTCTCATCATTAATGTTTCTATCTGTCTCCCCCTCTCTCCTCTCTGAAATCAATAAATTAAAAAAAAAAAGCAGTTTTCAGGTGGCTTTGGGAAACAATTCCACCAGCCTATGCTGTGCCCTTGTGCAAATTAGAAAGAGACATCACCTAGGGTTCTTATTCCACAAGCTCACAGTAAACAGGGCTAGAGGAAAGTACAGGTTCTGGAAAGTACAGGTTCTGTTTACGCAAATTACAAAAGGGTGCTCCTTCCTCCAGGTGGCTGCAGCCCTAGTGCAGGCAGCCCTTGTGCAAGGAGCTCCATGCACGGCCATCTAAGGTGACCGTACCATCTTAATTTCTCATCTGTGAACGCCAGGTACCCCACCTATCTCCCAGGACTGTGGGAAGACCAAATGTGTAGCAGTTTGACAAGCATAAGCTTTTTATAAGCCTAAAAGTTGTGGCACCTTGAAAACAAACAGCACAGCACTCTTTGTTCATGAAATGTGTATAGTGTTTCTCAGCGAACTCTTCGTGGAGGAATACTCTGAAACCCGAAATGGTTTATTCATCCAATGCTAAGCTGTGCTGTCCATGAACTATAGTGTCACTGCACTTGACAGTGTATATTGGGTTCTGTCCTTGCATGACAAGTGAACCCAAAGTTGCATAGAGGAACGTAGCAGTCCAGAAGCTCCCTCATCTCTGGAAGTCCACATGGGTCTGTTTAATGGGCTTACCTTTCATGAGCTGGATTCAAAGACTTCTTAAATTTTGTACACCAGAAATTTAAAGTCATTTTCTTGTTGATGCTCAAACGAGGCCACAGAAGTTAGTTTTTCTTACCATAGAGTTGATCGGTTGATTTTCT